AAAAAAAAAAAAAAAAAAAAAAAAAAAAAAAGAAACAAAACCAAAACCCTCCGAGGGCAGCGCGAGGCGAATGTGCGGCGTAAGCGGAATTTCAGCCCCAGCCGGAGCCTCCCAACAATTCTGGTGTCGCCTCCGGGTGACCCCCGGGCCGCCCTCACCCCCGGCGGAGCCCGGGGCCGGTGCCAGGGCTGGAGCCAAAGCCCGGGCGGAGGCTCCGGGCGCTGCAGCCGCCCTTGCCCGGGGGTCCCCGGGGGTCTCGGGGCTGGAGCGGCCCCTCCGGAGCCGGCCCCGGCTGAGAGGGGAGGGAGCGGGGCGAGCGCCGGCCGGGAGGGCGATTAATAAATAAATAAATTAAAGAAGGGAGGCGGTCTCCTCCCGGTGCCGGGGGTCCCGCGGCCGGACCCCGCTGCGGCCGCGGGGACGGGGTCACCCCCCCCGGTGTCACCGGCGCTGTCCCCAGCGCTGCTCCAGGAGCTCGGGGAGACGCGGGGCGCGCTCGCTCTTCCTCCTCCTCCTCCTCATCCTCCTCCTCGTCCTCGTCCTGCTGGGCTGGCCCGGGGGAGCCGCCACCCGGGGCCGTGTCCCCGCGGTGTCCCCGTGTCGCCACCGCGGCGTGGGGGGCCCGGCCCCCCCCCCCCCCGTTCCCTTCTCCGTCCGGTCGCTTTATTGCACAATGCGCGTGGGATCGCGGGCTCGCTGCTCCGTGCCATTCTCCTCCTCTCTCCTCCACCATCCAAACCGATTTCAACGCTTGGCCTTTGTCACTTGGCGCTTCCCGCCCCGCCCCGAACCAACAACAAAAAAATAAAAGAAAAAAAAAAAAAAAAAAAGGAAAAAAAAGAAAGCGGAAAAAATGCTGAGGAGCCCGCGGGGGGCAGCGGGGGCTCGCTCGGAGGGGCAGCGGGGAGGCAGCGCGGCTCTAGGAGCAGCCGCAGCGATCCACCACCATGCCGGGGATCTTGCCGTAGATGATCTGCTGCTTGTCGTTGAAGTAGAGCATGTTGATGGGGGACATCTTGGTGGGCGTGCAGCAGGGCCCGGCCGAGCCGCGCGGGTTGGCCTGCTGCACCAGGTGCGTGTGCGGGTACTTCTGCATGAACATGTACTCGCACTGGCCCGAGCAGTAGTTGGCCTTGTAGCGCTTGGGGGCGATGATCCAGTCCCAGCCGAACGCCTCGAAGTCCACGGTGAGCGGGTAGCGGCAGCAGCGCGACTCCGTGGAGTGCTCGTCGCAGTCCAGCCCCAGGTTCCGCCGGGAGCGCTTGTTGTTCTCCAGGACGCGCAGCTCCATGAAGGGGTGCTGGGGACAGCGAGGGGACGGGGACAGCGGGGACACGGGGACAGCGAGGGGACGGGGACAGCCAGGAGGGGACACGGGGGACAGCGGGGACACGCGCCTGTGACCCCAGGCAGTCACCAGCCCCAGAGAGCTGCCACCCACCCCACGAGAGTGTCACTGTCCCCATGGAGCTGTTGCTGTCCCCACAAAGCTGTGACCAGCCCCACGGAGCTGTCACTGTCCCCCAGCCCTGTCACTGTCCCCACGACCTGTGACCCCCCTTCCTAAACTGCCACCACCCCTCGGAGCTGTCACCGTCCCCCAGCCCCATCCCACCACCCACCCAGTGCCCCCCTGGGGACACCCCAAACCACTCGTGTCCTCACGGATGGGCACTGCCACCCACCAGCCCCGCTGTGCCACTCTGGGGTCACCCCAAACCCTCTGTCCCCCTGTCTGGGGACTCCCCAAACCCCCTGTCCCCGCTCTGGGGACACCCCAAACCCCCCGTGTCCCTCCGGGTGGGCACTGCCACCCACCAGCCCCTTGGCGTCCCTCTGGGGACACCCCAAACCCTCTGTCCCCGCTCTGGGGACACCCCAAAGCCCCTGTCCCCGCTCTGGGGACCCCCTGAGCCCCACCCCGCGGGCAGTGCCACCCACCAGCCCCTCTGGGGACACCCCAAACCCCCTGTCCCCGCTCTGGGGACACCCCAAACCCCCCGTCCCCGCTCTGGGGACCCCCTGAGCCCCACCCCGCGGGCAGTGCCACCCACCAGCCCCTCCGCGCCGGGCCCCAGCGAGGTGACAGCCAGGTCGTTGCCGTTGGGGTCGAAGGCGTTGATCTCGATGCCCCAGTTGTTGTGGGGCTGCTTGAACCAGTTCTGCAGGACGTGCTTGAAGTCGATGCTCTGCCAGTGGCCGGAGCGCGAGTTGAGCTCGATCTTGAGCGAGCGGATGCGGATGTGGCGGCTGCCCTCGTCCGTGACGGGCTTGAGGCGCAGGATCTGCAGGTACACGGTGGAGGTGTGCTGCACCGGCCGCAGGTACACCCAGAGCTGCGCCTTCACCACCTTGGTGAACATGATCTTGGGGCTGAAGTTGAAGAAGCAGCAGTGCGGGTTGCCCTCGATCTGCACCGCCGGGTCCGCTGCGGGGGGAGAGGGGAGAGGAAGGGTCAGGTTTGGGCTCGGGACCACCGGTGGGACCCCCGCAGCGAGATGCGGGACAGCCGGGACTGGCTGCGGGACCCCCCGGCCCCGCACCGCGAGCGGAGACCCTCTGGGACCCCTGAGCAGCGCTCCGGGACCCCCGAGAGCCTCTCTGGGACCCTCAGCCCCACACCGGGACCAGAAACCCTCTCTGGGACCCCTTAGCAGCGCTCCGGGACCCCCGAGAGCCTCTGTGGGACCCCTGAGCACCACTCCAGGACCCCCGAGAGTCTCTCTGGGACCCCCAGCCCCACACCGGGACCAGAAACCCTCTCTGGGACCCCTGAGCATCACTCCGGGACCCCCGAGAGCCTCTCTGGGACCCTCAGCCCCACACCGGGACCCCCGAGCCCCTCTCCGTGACCCCCGGGCTCCTCTCTGGAATCCCCAGCCCCACTCCGGGACCCCCGAGCCGCACTCCAGACCCCCCCCGGCCCCGCTGCGGGACCCCCGAGCTCTCGGGGTCGGGGCAGACCCTCCCCGGCCCTGCGGAGGTGAAGGTCGGGTCAGAGGCCGCCCCGGGGGTCGCCCGCGAGGAGGTCCCCCCTGCCCCCTGACCCGCGGCCCCGGGGGGCTCGGGAGGGGCCCGGAGCGAGCCCCCCGCGGGGGGGTCCCGGCCTGTGTGGGGCGGGGGGCTCCGGGCCCGCAGCACCTGCTCGGGGCCGCCCTTCCTCCCCGGGGATCCGCGGGGTGGGGGTCCCAGCATCTCCCACCCCCCGAACCCCGCACCCCACACCTCGGGGTTGGGGGGGGGGGGTTCCCGCAGCCCCCCCAAACCCGGCAGGTGACAAAACGCAGCGCGGGGGGCGGTGACACCCCCGAGCATTCCGGGGGTCCCCCCGGCCCGGCCCCACATCTGTGTCGAATTGAGCTGGGAATTTGCCCCCCCCCGGCGCAGCCCCCGCCCCCTGCCCGCACCGGTCAGGTTTAATAGCGCCCAGCTGCAGCGCGGGGCCATTTGCTGCGCCGGCCCCGCGGGGGTCACGACACCGGGAATGTCGCCTCCCCTCCCCGGGCCGGCTCGCAAATGGGGCTGGGGGCCGCGGGGACCCCCCCCCTCACACCCCCCAGCAGCTCGGGGGGGGCTTTGTCACCCCGGGCGGGGACGGTGACACCCGCGGGTGATGGCCG